TGGGGGCACGGATTGGTGTGACATTAAATCAGTATTTCCCCAAGTTGAGTCTGTTTTGGCCTGGTGTTCAATCAGTGAAGATCCCTCCTTGTCCTTGGTCTCGACCCAGGAGCTTCTAGTTGGGTTTGTCCTCCCAGCCCAGGGTGTATGGGGGGAGCAGCCCCGGGGCTGTTCCACTGGGTTGGACCCAAGCCACGGGGTTTGGAGTTTTTGTTTTCCCTCAGCCCAGCCCAGCCCAGCCCAGCCCAGCCCAGCCCAGCCCCAGGCTGACTCACTGATCTCCAGCTGCCTCTGGATCCGGCCCTTGCAGCGCTCCCGGTAGTCGGTCTGCGTGGCGTTGTACTCAGACATCACCTCCACGAACTTGCGCGACAGCGTCGAGTGCTGAGCAGGGGAGAGGAGACCAACAGGGTGAGGGTCCTGCAGGAGGGACAGACCCACCACCCCCGGAGCAGCCCCTGCACCTCTGGCACCCACAAAGCACTGCCAGCCCAGGAGCTGCTCTGAGCGGCGTCAGGAGGTGACGCGGCCCCACAGGGAGCTCCAGGTGCCCCTGCTCAGCCTGGTCACCCCCAGCCCAGCCCAAGCAAGGTGTGCACCCCCAGAGGATATGCAGGGGTCACAGCTGGCAGCCCCCTCCTCACACCACAGCTTGTGTGCTCTGGGTCTTGTGTGCACGGTGCTCTGGGTCAAGCCCAGCCTGTCCCTGCCAGGACCTGCTGGACCCAGCACAGGCACAGGACAGACGGTGGGTGTCCCTCTGGGGTGCTGGGACTGGGCAGGGAACCCTGGGGGGACCCAACCTGGCTAGGGCACAGCTTGCGAGGGGAGCTTGTCCCCTCCCCACACTGGAGGGCTCCCGCAAGCCCCAGCCCCACGGGGATGTAGGGGAGGACCACTTGCCCCAAACTGAGCAGCCAGCCCAGGGCAGGTGGTGTGGTGGGGCTGTCACCCCACACTAGAGCACCCTCATCTTCAGCAAGGCCTGAGCTCACCCTTAGTGAGTTACAGCTGACAGAGCTGAAGCCAAGGATTGTACCCAGCCCTGATGAGCTGGAGCAGCTCTTAAGCCTCCATAGCAGAGCCTGACAGCACCTCTGCAGGCTCAGAAGTGTCTCCTGGGTGTTTCTACACCCAGAGCAGCTCCAGCCAACCCACCTCCAGGAGACTGAAGACATCTGAAAGACACACTTGTGTTTGCTTTGCAGCTATTCTAAGCAAGAAGCAGCTCCATCCTCATGGCAGAGCCTCAGCCTTGGCTCATCTCATCCAGCCTCTGCTGGCAAACCTCACAGGGGAACCTCAGCACCTGCAGCCTCTCCCCAAGAGCTGACCAGCACCAAGCAAGGCCAACAGCTCTTGGGTGTCATGGCTTGAAATCCAGCAAGAACGGGATGTGTCACCTAATCAACTCTTCTTCTGCCTTCTCTAAATTGCCTAAAACCCAGTTTGTTCTCACTCGGCTGTGAAGTATCAACACAGGTTGATCTGTAGCCAAATATAGCCTGGGTGTTGAGTGACACCCCTTTCTGCTCCTCAGCACACCACACCACTCTTCTCCTTCAAAAGTTCTTTGCCTTCGTGTTGATTTTGTCAGATTGTTACGTTCTGTTCCCCCGGGCATCCCACACGTCTACAAAATGCATCTCATTTTTGAAGGAACACGCAGTTTTTGTGCATAACGGGCTGGAAAAACCCATTTGAAATGACTTTCAGTCACTACATGGAACCACCTGAATATTCAGAGTAAATAAGAAGAATATAAAAATGTAAATTGCATTTGAAAGAGACTCGTTCAACAAAAAGTATTGACTGAAGTTAGGACACAGGGTTGCTTCACCTGGGGCCAACAACTCTGCACTCCTCAGGCATGGACAGACTAGATGGGACTTGGACAGGCTGGATGGATGGACTGGGGTCAACAAGGCCAAGTGTCACATCCTGCACTTGGGCCACAACAACCCCAGGCAGTGCTGCAGGCTGGGGACAGAGTGGCTGGGAAGTGCCTGGTGGAAAGGGAGCTGGGGGTTCTGACTGACAAGCAGCTGAACGTGAGCCAGTGTGTGCCCAGGTGGCCAAGAAGGACAATGACATCCTGGCCTGTAGGACCAGGGAGGTGATTGTCCCTCTGTACTCAGCACTGGTGAGGCTGCACCTCCAATACTGTGTCCAGTTTTGGGCACCTCAATCCAGGAAGGACATGGAGGTGCTGGAGCGTGTCCAGAGAAGGGCAACCAAGTTGATCAAGGGCCTCAAGAACAAGTTTTATGAGGAGCAGCTGAGGGAGCTGGGGCTGTTGAGTCTGAAGAAAAGGAGGCTGAGGGGAAACCTCATCACCCTCTGCAACTGCCTGAAAAGAGGTTGTAAGGAGGCAGGTGCTGGTCTCTTCTCCCCAGTAACAGGTGATAGAACAAGAGGAAATGGCCTCAAGCTGCACCAGGGGAGGTTCAGACTGGACATGAGGAAGAACTTTGTCACTGAAAGGGTTGTCAGACATTGGAACAGGCTGCCCAGGGAGGTTGAGTCACCCTGGATGTGTTTAAAAGTCATCTAGATGTGGTGCTTGGGGACATGGCTCAGTGCTGGGCTTGGGAGAGCAGGGTCAATGGTTGGACTCGATGATCTTGAAGGGCTTTTCCAACCTCAGTGATTCTGTGATATGGGGAAAGCAGCTCCATTTGCTGCACAACCAAGTTGGACTTCTAAAGAGCTCAGTCAGCTCTGGGTACACACAGGGGGCTTTGACACCCCTACAAAGCATAGACTGGAACCTGGGACATTGGTCTTCAACATCTGAATGAAGAGAAAGACACTTCTGAAGTGCTCATCCTGGGAGAGAGCCCAGGGGGGATGCCAGCTCTCCTCCTGAGCCTGTCAGGGTTACAGCAGATCCCACCCCTGCCTTGCCACCCTTGGGGTTTGTTTCAGTCTTTGAACTGGCAGGGTGAACATTTCCACTGCACCATCTTATCTAGATAAATCAAGCCCAAAACCAACTAGAGGAAAAGCTCTTCTGAACAACAAGGACCAAAAGTACTGATACTTGGAAGAAGGGCAGGGATCTCCTGGTCTCCTCACCACTGTGCTGTGATCCCACAACCAGGAGCAAACCTGGGTGTCAGGAAAGGCTGAAGGAGCTGGGGCTGTTCAGCCTGGAGATGAGAAGGCTGAGGGGAGACCTTATCAATGGTTACAAGTATCTAAAGGGTGGGTGCAAGGAGGATGGAGACAGGCCCTTCTCAGCAGGGCCCAGTGTCAGAACGAGGGGCAATGGGTGCAAGTTGGAACATGGGAAGTTCCTTTGAAATATGAGGAAAAACGTCTGTACAGTGAGGGTGACAGAGCCCTGGGACAGGCTGCCCAGGGAGGCTGTGGAGTCTCCAGCTCTGGAGATATTCCAAACCCACCTGGATGCAGCCCTGGGTAAAGTGCTCTGGGTGATCCTGCTTCAGTGGGACAGTTGGATTAGATGGTCTCTAGAGGTCCTTTCCAACTCCAGCAGTTCTGTGATTCCTGCTTGGATGTTCCTGGGTGGCTGGGAGCTGGAGGGGACACCTGAGCTGCACACCCACCAGGACCAGCTGCAAGAGCCCCACTGTGAGGCCATCAGACCTGAGGCCACAGGGGATCTGAGGGCAGAAGCACCTCTCCTGTGGAGACAGGCTGAGAAAGCTGGGGTTGCTCAGCCTGGAGAAGGCTTCCAAAATTCACACTCACACCAGGAGCACACCAGGTATGGGAACCCAACGAGCACCAGCAGGGACCAGGGACATCTTCACACTCCTGGTGTGTTGCAGCTCAAAAACTGCCTTCAGGCAAGTCCACCCCACACTGCTCCCCAGGGGACAGCTACAAGGGTCAGAGGGTGCAGCTGCTGCCAGAGCTGTCAGCTCCTCTTACCCACAGTGACAAAGCAAAGCCAGCAGCACAACCATGGGACAACACTGCTCTGTGCCCTGCTCACCTGTCCTGGGCATGGGGACCTGGCTACAGTGCCCACCTCAGCCTCCCAACACAGGGGCTCCAAGCTGCAGCCCCAGGGAGCTCCTCTCCCCTGATTATCTGAGACTAGAGAAATGCTAAAAAATGCCCAAATTACAAGAAAAGCTTCCACTTCCTTGTCCATGGCTGAGGGAGTTGGGGCTGTGCAGGCTGGAGAAGGGAAGGCTCCAGGAGACCTTCCTGAGGCCAATCAGTGCTTGAAGGAAAGAGGAAGAGACTTTTGAGCAGGGCCTGCAGTGACAGGACAAGGGACAAGGGTTTAAACTGAACCAGGGTGGGGTTAGGTTGGACATAGGGAGAAATGGCTTACACTGAGGGTGGTGAGACCCTGGCCCAGGTTGCTCAGAGAAGCTGTGGCTGCCCCATCCCTGCCCAGTGTTGAAGGGCAGGTTGGATGGGGCTTGGAGCAGCCTGGTCTGGTGGGAGGTGTCCCTGCCCATGCAGGGGGGTTGGAACTAGATGAGTTTTAAGGACCCTTCCAACCCAAACCACCCTGGGGTTCTATGATTACTTCTAGTGTTTGCACAGCAGAATTTGACTGCTCTGAAGCCAAGCACAGCCCTCCTCTCCCATCACCTCCTGGGCTCTCAGAGCTGCCTCCAGACAGTTCCCATCCTCCCCTTCCCAGTGTCCCAGGGCAGGGACTCACCTGAGTTTTCCTTATCCTCAGGTCAGCAGATGACCTGTTCAGTCCTTCCTCTTGCTCAATACTCTGCTCAATACCTGGTGGGGGTAGAAGGACACATTATTTCATGCTGCTCAGAGAAAGGAAAAGGGCTTGTTTGTGGAGGGATTGGAAATGACTGAAGCCAGTTGAGGAGAACCTGGAACCATCCCCAGCTCCTGCCTCCAGCCCAGGATTCAGCCTGGGTTGGCAGCAAGGCTGCCCAGCTCTGGGTGTGCTCATCAGGCTGGGCCTCAGCACCATCCAAACCCCACGGAGTGCTGCTCTGCCCCAGGAGCAAACCCAGAGCTAAAATGTCCCCAACTCAAGCCTTCTTCCAGGGACTCCAAAACCAGCAGGTCGGCAGCTGCCAGGGCCTGCCCAGGGGGGACCCATGAGTACACCCCCTCCTGATGACTAGGCTGCTGCAGCAGGGCAGGGATTTGCCCTTTTCATCCCACCTGGCAGCACAAAGGAGTGAGATGAACTCCTCACCTGCCCAAGGAGCATGAAGGGCTGCAGGGAGGAGCTGTGGTTTGGGCAGGAGAGGGCATGGGGTGGCAGCACAGGAGGTCCAGCACAGAGCAAGGCTGTGCAGATCTGCTCCTCAAGGCCAGCCTGGGACATGCTAATTCAAAAAGTTCATTTTAGACACTTACAAAGCCTGGAAGAAAGCTCCCAGCTGGCCCAGGGTGCAGAGGTATGTGCCTCCATGTAGACTGACCTCCAGGTGTGAGCTGGTGGCATCCCTTGAGTTTGGCTCAGGATGCCAGAAGACACCCAGACCGGGCCAGGCTGTGTGTCTGTAACCTGCCCTGTCCTGCCTACAGCAAACCACCCCAAACTGTCCCCATCTGAGCCAAACAGCAGGTGCCACCAGCACAGAGCTGCCAGCCAGGGCCCCACCACAGTGCTGGTCATGGGGCACGAGTGGGAAGAGATGAACAGAGGGGCCTGGAGCAGAACCCAGGGCAGTAATGCTGCACCCCAGCCAGGATGGGAACTGTGCTACCCATGGCACCATCACAGGTAGACAGTGATAAGATGAGGGGAACTGTTTCAAGCTGGAAGAGGGGAGATTGAGATGAGATCTTAGGGAGAAATTCTTTGCTGTGAGGGTGGTGAGACCCTGGTCCAGGTTGCCCAGGGAAGCTGTGGCTGCCCCATCCCTGGCAGTGTTGGAGGGCAGGTTGGATGGTCTAGTAGGTGTCCCTGCCCATGGTGGGAGGTTGGGACTAGATGATCTTGAAGGTTCCCTTCCCCAAACAACTCCATGACCAACACTCACTCTTTAGCTTGGAGCGCACTTTGTTTGCCGTTTTCTTTATGTCCGACATCAGCTCCTCCAGCTCCTCCTTTGTTTCTGGGGAGAGAGAAAAGAGCAAACATGAGTAAGTTTGAGACACTGCTAAAACCTGCTGCCCAGCCCTGCAGTGTGTGAAGACCAGATCCAGGGAAGCTGTGGCTGCCCCATCCCTGGCAGTGTTGAAGGGCAGGTTGGATGGGGCTTGGAGCAGCCTGGGCTGGTGGGAGGTGTCCCCGCCCATGGGACTGGGTGATTTTGAGGGTTCTTTCCAACTCAAACCATTCTGTGGGTCCATGGTCCCTGTCCCAGAAACCAGAGCTTCCTAAGAGGAGCTGAGATGTGCCTGTGTGCCCCTCAGCACCCTGTGCCTGAACAGCTGCAGGACCCACCTGAGCACAGCAGCAGGGCTGGAGCGGGGGGCTCAGGCCTGTGCCCTTCATGCAGGGACCCAACCCAACCATGCTCTGCCCCTCATGGGGTGTGAAGGCTGGGTGGTGGACATGTCCTGCTGGACCTTTGGGCAGCCTATCGCCCTGCCCTGCCCATGGGACTGGCCAACCCCCCAAGCCAGCAGTGAGCAGCACATTGCAGCATCTCCAGATTCAGCTACCAAAGGAAGTCTGAACCCACCTGCCACTCAAATATGATTTCTGGGAAATGCTGCCACCCTCATGCTCCCTCTTGATTTTGATGAGGTCAAGACCTAATTCAAGAAAAGTTGGTTTAACAGACCCCAGGCACATGAACTGAGTCACTCCAGTGGCTGTGGTGGCTCCCAGCTGGCAGTCACAGGCACAATCACAAAATGATGGTGACAGGAACGTGCTGGGGGAAAGTCACATCCCACCAAGGGCTGCAGACATTCCTGACTCAGAGCTAAGAGATTCAGCACCCTTGGGAAAGAAGAAGATGGACCTGTGTGTGAATGTCTTCACCCTAGGCTCCAGGATGTTCTGGTGAAGACCAGACCATGGCCTCACTGGGGGACCTGGTGTGATTCCGTAATTGCTAGAGAATAAGCACCATGTAGGGAAGGGCAGAGAACATCTTCAGGTTGGGCTCTCACTGAAGTGGCTAACTCTTCTTCATTGGTGAAAGAGTTTGTATTGAATAAAGAAACCAGCCTGAGCTGAGGAACAACCCGTGGCCAGGAGCTGATGGAGAAGCAGACAAAAACCCAGAAGTGTGAGGGGACAACAGGTTACCATGAACATGAGGACAGGCTGAGAGCTGGGCTTGTTCACCTGGGAAGGGGAAAGCAAAGGGGGCTCCTACTGCTGCCTACAATGACCCAGAAGGGAGAGACTGGTACCAGACTTTCTTGCTGGTCCTTGGAGGTGACCTTCAGCTTCTTGCTGAAGCTTGAAGCTGCACAGGGACAGTGCAAGCAGTGACAGACCAAGCTGGGACACACAGAATTCAAATTAGATACTAGGGAAAAAAAATGGTCATCATGAAGGTGGTCAAACAATGAGCCCAGAGACATGGTGGGATGTCTGTCCTTAAGGATATTCAGCGTGTGGCTGGATGAAGGGCTGAGCAACCAGCTCTAATGGACCTGCTGGAGGGTACTGGACCAGGGGCCTCCCAGGTCCCTTCCCACCCAAATCCACCTTTGATCTTAGGAGACAATTTCACATCACTCACTGCTGCACACCTTCTGTACATAGTCAGGTCTCTTCTCCCTGTCACAGCTGGTGACAGGATGAGAGGAAATGGCCTCAAGTTGTGCCAGGGAAGGTTCAGATTGGATATTAGGAACAATTTCTGTACTGGAAGAGTGGTCAGGCATTGGAACAGGCTGCCCAGGGCAGTGGTGGAGTCACCATCCCTAGAGGTGTTCAAAAAACGTGTGGATGTGGCACTTCAGGACATGGCTTAGTTGATGTGGTGGTGGGTTGATGGTTGGACTTGATGATCCTACAGGTCTTTTCCAACTCTCCTACTGGATGAGGAGAACGCTGTGGACATTGTGTACCTAGACTTTGGCAAGGCCTTTGACACCCAGACTAGGATGATTCTGTGATTCCCTTCTGGCTGTCAGCCTGGGCTGGAGGACATGCTGTGTGATGCTGCCCTGGTGCTTCCTCTGAGGGTCCAAATGACCATCCCCCTGTGCTGGCCACTCAGGAAGGGCCCAGGACCGACCCAGCATGGAGGGACACGAGTTATGGAGCTAGGCTGCCTTCCCTCCAACTATTTCCAACTGAGCAGCAGGGGGAAAACCCTCCTTCTGGCTGGCTCTGAGGCCCAGGATGCCTGCACAGCCGCCCCAAACAGTTGTCTTCCCATCCATGGCGTCTGTTGAAGTGACTCACTCCACACTATTTAACACTCGGCAACAGGAAGAAGCAGCACCACAACATCACCACCACCATGGCCTTGCTCTCCCCAGCAAACAGGGCTGCCCTGAGGGGCAAGAGGTGTTTCACAGACTCACCAAGGCTGGAAAAGACCTTTCAGATGATCAAGTCCAGCCTATGACCAACACCCCCACATCTCCAGACCAGGGCACCAAGTCCCACCTCCAGCCTTGCCCTGAACACCTCCAGGGATGGTGCCTCCACCACTGCCCTGGGCAGCCCATCCCAGTGTCTGATCACCCTCTCCATGGGGAAGTGCTTCCTGATATCCCACCTAAACCTCTCCTGGAGCAGCTTCAGGCCAGGCCCTCTTGTCCTGTCACTGGTTGCCTGGAAAAAGAGCCCAACCCCACCTGAGCACAACCTCCCTTCAGGTGGTTGGAGAGAGTGAGAAGGTCCCCCCTGAGTCTCCTCTTCTCCAGGCTAAACACCCCCAGCTCCCCCAGCCCATCCCTGTCAGACTTTCCCTCCAGTCCCTTCCCCAGCCCCGTTGTCTCCCCTGGACCTGCCCCAGCACCTCCAGCTCCTTCTTGCAGTGAGG